GTCACGAAGGACTCGTGCTTCACGCGTCCACGTACACCGGCTACGCCTTGTGCATCCTAAGCCACGGCGACAACTGCTACTGAGCAGGCATCCGTATACAATTCTCGGGTCCGAGGCTAGACAGTCTCCACGTCGCGGATACGTCTAGACTGGCAGCTAGGGACTGTATCATGATTATTCTTCCTTGCTCGGCTAATTTGCTGTTTTGCAGGCTTCAATTCCTCCTCCAGAAGCACTCGACAGCAACCCAGACAGCTCCAAATACTTCGAGATGGTCAGTAAGAAGGCTGCATCACCGCCGCGGACGGCATTCTAGCCAATATCGGTATCCGCGTCGGCGCTCTGGGGCACGTAAGTCCAGAAACCCGGCTAGCGAGCACCTCTCGCTCTGGCCCTGACGCAACAAGCACCAGCAGAGATCAGTGTAAGGTATCTTCGTAATCTTTTTCTGCTGGAAAAACTAACAAGCTCAACAGCTACCAGCAGCTCTTTCTTCAGTTTGATCACTTCCGACCCAATCGATGGTGAGTTTTACCTGACAGTTTATATTAGTGAGGCGGGGACAGGTGATAACACTGACGGTAATGATGTATTTTCGAACTACTGCGTAAAATTCACTTTGGTTTTCGTTCATGTAACAATATACCGGAATGTTACCTGCCTTCCTCGTCACTGCTATCACTTTGCTCACTGGAAACGTTGTCATCGTTCTCTTCGTAGTTTTCGCTGACAAACAAAGTATCACGAATAATATCGGAGGCTAACGAACAGCGTCGCGTGGTGACTACATTTCCGCTTTCTAAAAATATCACGATCGGACTGCTATACACCCGATCCACTTCCTAGCCAAAGCCCCCACGAACGGCTATTTAGTTCGTCGTTTTGCCCACCAGTCTAATGCATCAGTAGTAACGGGAATTCCATGTGCATCTCTTAAATATTGCCGGACCTGAGACTCGCACTCGTCTTTCAGCATATCATCGGCAACACTGATCGGTTCTTCCACATACTCGTCCATCCCACCACTAAATACGTCTGTTAGCCAAGCAATAATTTGCCTCGTTGTATCGGACTGGGGTATTAAATAGTTTTCTACCTGCGCAGCCTAGTTGTCGCCGGGTTTGTTTGTATTCATCGCTTTTGCAATCACCAAAACGGCATCTTTGAATCGAGATGCAGCAACTTTAGATTCGCCATGACTTAAGAGTTTCAGCTCGGCTGACCTTGGATCCAGCGCGGAAATCCACAGCAGCTCCGGCGGTAAGCTATTCTTAAACCGCTTGGAAAAGAGCTCAATGTACGTGTTTCTGACTGAATGCATCAATGTCTCCACTCAAGTACCAAATTCTTCGTTGGCAACAGATCGAATGATCGGATCAAAAATATTGGTGTTGTTTAGGTTCCTCTCGATTGGCCGAAGTACTGGAACCGCAATTACTAATGTAGGGTACTTCTGTCCTCCCAAACCATCGGTAGCTTTGGCGAAAGGCTCAAGTAAGGCGACTAAGCACCGAATCGTCAGCCAATCCTCAGCCGTTGGCAGATTTGTCGAGTCAACACTTACGATCGCGCAAAAGATTCGCCATTCGAGTACTAGAGCAGCTATGGATCCATTTCTGCCGCCGATTTCAATGATGTGGTCTCAGGGAATGTCTTCCGCAGCCGATGACCGTCCCGAAGAAGTACTTCGAGCTCAGGATGATCATAGAGCGATGGGTTCAGTAGTGCACACGTTTGCGCTGCGCGGTCAGCCGCCCAGCCGATCATTTAACGAGTTATAATCAAGTAGTCCGTCAATTCGTACCCGTCTTACCTTGATGGCGCCGACGATACGGACGCTCGGCAGACTGGGATCTGTTCCGGGACTCTAACAAGACACGATCACGACGTTGTTGCTGAAGTAACCCCCATGAATAGACCTTGTCGTGATGAAGAAGCTGCGAAACGTCCGACACGCAAGCGTCTTGATTCTCGCGGTCTTGTAGGACCCTATAAACGCCTGTTTGTGGGTCCTAGTGGTCACGAAGTATGTGAAGCTACTTCACCAGCAGATACTCCAGCAAAACAAACAAGTACGCCGCAGCGCGGATCAAGTTTGCGCAATCGGGATGTTGATACTACGGCTAGTGCTCGCCGCAAGCATGTTGAAAAGCCTCCCGCCAGTGCAACGCGTCAAAGGGGTATGGACAGTGTTCAGCGCCCACACTCAAATTAAACACCTAGTAATTCCGGCCGTGGTCACAGTGACAATACTCCCAGCAGCTCTCAGCGTGGACGTTGCCACAAATCACTAAACAGCTCTTGATCAAGACGCCGTAGCAGGATACGAGCAGTGTGCAACGTGGTGGTAGAAATGTGTCATCTCATTCAGTGTTGGCCTCAACGCCGCATTTATTGCAAATGGCGCACCTGGCATGTTCAGAGCGCAAGTCGTCTATATGTATGTGGCTACAGTCATCCTGGCAAACAAGCTGGATGAAACGCCAGTTTTGCGGCTTACCCATTTTGTGCATGTTGAACAAGATTCGTCGTGGACTTGATAGCATTGCGTTTGAAAAGTACAGTACAGCGCATGTAACCAAACACATGAAGACACGCCATCTTAAGGAGCTCAAACAAGCAACAGAAGAAGGAGAATCTCGTCGGAGAAACAAAACCCAGATTTTGGTGCACACAAAGCAAAAAAACAATGCCTACAATGTCGGGCTACCAAGAAGCAGCAACAGTGGAGGAGCAATCAAGGGCTGATGATCTAGCTTGGATCTGGGTTGCTAAGTCAATGCGTCCGTTTTCGATCACTAGCGACAAATACTTTTGCAAGTACCCACGATACCTCAACTCAGTGTGCGGCCGGGCTAATGTCATCAAACCATGGAAGACCCACGAACGTGTTGGAAGTAATAGCCGCTGAACTTCGCGAAACTTAAAGGAGAAATTCGCTGCTGAATGCCATTATTACTCTGCGTCAGGTGATATTTGGACATCCAGAAGCAAGCTCAAGTTTATATGCCTTACGCTGCACTATCTCGACACGTTGTTCAAAATGCGCAGTTGGATACTCGAAGTGAAGCTGCTGCCGGGAAAGCACGATACTTACAACATTGTAGACTCATTGAAGAAAAGCACGCTGGAATTGGGTCTACCGGCTAGTAAGTGTGTCTAATTTTTGCGCGATGGCGCCCCACCAGACGTTAAAGCCTGTGGCTTGCTCCATCTCGACTCGATGTCATGATTAGCTCATTGCTTGCACTTAATCGTTGGCTCTGGTATTGTCAAGAAAAAATCTGACAGAACATACAACGAGATGCTAGCGGCAGCAAAGACGGATGGTAAATAAGATGATGCGCTCGAACAGGAGGCTTGCGGAGAAGTGGACAGGTTTATCGCAGAGTCTTGTGAATCTTCTCAGTCAGATTGGATAAGTTACGTGGAGCTGTTGAAAAGTTTCGCAAGCTTGCAGTGTTCTTTAGTCGTTCGGCAAAGGGATCCGATTGCCTGAAAAGCCTTCAAAGTTAAAAACTTCTTCCTAAAACCGACTGTACTACTCGTTGGATTAGCACATACGCCATGCTCTTGCGTATGTTGGAGCTACGCAGTACATTAGCTGCCTTTTTTATCTCGCGGCTAGAACTGGTGAATTTTCTTACCCCACTTCCGCACTGATCGGCGGAATCGAAGAGGCGCTGATAGTGGTATACTTGCGAAGTCTTTTAACGAGACCGGATTTTTTTTTAACGTTATCTACAGCGATAACACGTAACGTTGAAGGCACTACCCTGCAATATGCTTGGTTCTACACTTTTTACTTAACCAAAATGTGAGCTATTATGTGCGAATTATGTGTTTTGCGGAAAATCAAGCATATTACTTGGGTTAACAACAATAATTACAATAGTTATCGGTAAACCCAAGCAATATGATATAATATGCTGCGCGGTGCCGAGTAATACCCAGCATATATGCATGCTATACATTTTACTGTGGGATATTTACCATACAATATCCAAGTAATTTTTCGGCGGCAATAGGGTTAAGGGCTCCGACTTTGGAGGGGCCCGTGTTGAGAATTGACTATGGTTGTGCTCGTTATCGCTGAAGCCCAAGTGAGAGAGACGAACGTTGCATCCACGAAAGACAAGGCTCGGGAACGAAGAGTAACTCGGTGCTACTGAGAGATGGTGACTCCTGTCTCTAGGCATGTTTTTCATAGCGGGTTAGTCTCGAACACGACGTCTGAGAACAGCTCACTCAGAAGAAGAGCAAGCTGCACTAGAAATTAATAGGAAGTTCGTATTTGTGTGTACGTGGATTGCCTGTGTTTTCAGCTCGAGCTTTGCTGCGGATCTGAGTGAGAATAATCCTATGACGAGCGTCTCAGCCCAACCGTCGTTCTTGAAGTACCGGAGTACCCCTGCGTCTCGTGCCCTAAGATGATGAGGCACCGAACCTGGAGATGCTCTCGATGAAGCTCCTACTCAGCCAGTGACCACCGTCATTGACGCGTATCGAAGGCTCTGTCCATTTGACGCTGGAACAACTCTCGTCGGAGAAGAGCACTTGCACGCTGAAGCATGCATCCATGGCCATATTGACCAGCTTGTCTGCCATTTTGCTGTATTCTCGGTAGCGATGCGTCCACGACATCACCTGTAGCTGGTTAGCAGCGCGTTGCGTTTGATAGTAAATCCCTTTGAGATGAGCCGCCTTCGGGGGTACGCACACCCTCTGTTGTCGCAGGATTAGTTGGCTGGGCTCTCCCATAGAACACACCCGCTTTTCTAAATCTGACAGATTAATTCTAAATCTGAAAATAAAATTAAATCTGAACAAACAATGCTACATGTGTGTACCACATTATTGGCACTTATTGATTTGGCGCGATACTCACCAGGAAACAAGCCCGCTTTCCCGCCCAATTGAACACTACCCCGTAGCCACTACACTTCGTTTTAGTATACGAATTGAAAATACGCCCGCTACGGCCCCCACTACCACACAGTTTAACTCATTTTGCAGTCGCGTTGGCGGACCAACGCGCCCAAGTCCGCCATCGAAACCAACGCAGGCTCGTCCTCCCGGTTCTCCACCACGATCGGCTGCAGCAGTGCAGTCGACACCAGAGACCGAGGGTCCGGTATGCTCCGGACCAAGTGAGAGACCTCCACCACCACGGATTGCGACGACACCGCGTCCACCAGTGTCACGTTCGTCCACACCGTCACAGCCTGAGACTTGGCCGTGCGCGGCGCCAGAACCACCTCCGCAGTCTTCAGCCACCTCGCATCGCTCGACTGCAACTCGCCCGACACTTGCCATTCACCACCGTTCTTCACGCGGTGCAGCAGCACGAAGTCGCTCCAACGAGGAACTGCCAGGCTAGCCATGCTCACGCTCTGCACGCCCAGAGCGCCGACCAGCAACGTAGACGCGCGATCCAAAGCCACAGACACCAACTGCCTCGGCGGCAACGATACCGTCTCGCTCACGAATACCATCGAGCGCAGCGCCAAAGACAGGTCCAGGTCGCGACGCCGCCATGAGATCGCAAGCGGACGCACCACCCAAGTCAGCTAATTAGAAATGAATAAATCTAGTTCGTCAAATTAGGTGCTCTTTAATTTAGAAAATTATATCTTAAAAACGGGCGTGTTCTATGGGAGAGCCCAGGTTCGCACTGATGCGTATGATAATGGTCTTGCTTCCGCCAGGGCCCGGGTTTTCCCGATACCTATCATCGAAGTAAACCAGGTAGCATATGCAGGAGGACGCCCTAGCGTGACAATTGCCATCTCAAGACTCTCTGTTTTGTGCGGGATTGACGCGCTCAAGCGCTCGCTGCACTGCGATTGAATGATAAGAGAGTCTGTCGCTGGAGGAATTTGCCACTGTATTGACAAACGTGGCCCACCCCGTGTATCAAGCCAAGGTAAAGAGTCAGAACGCTTGCTTTTACGCTAAAAGATCCTCTTCTATAGCTTGATTCCGCCAGACTTTGCAGCTCCTTGAGCTCATCACACCAAGAGCTCCACTCATTTAAATCTTCAAATAAATTCGATTCCTGTAATGGTATCTACGTTAGCAACGCCGGAGCAATTGTTACACGTCAATGTTACAAATTTACCTTCAGAACGAAGACGGTTCGAGGTTGCGTTTCGTCTCCTTGCTGAAGCTCTTTGAACCCCATCGCTAGAAGACACTGATGTCCGTCAGGATATTGGCCCAGATCATGTGAGATGCTATCCTGCTACTGTGAGATGCTACTTGCTACGGCCTGCCAGTGTCCAGTGCCAGACGTCATTGCCACAGCCCAAGACACTGGCAATACCAGTACTACCGATCCAACCTACAATCCTACGCGTGTCTATGCATGTACTGCATCCCGGCGTACCGGTCTGCAACGCGCTCACGTGCGAGCGGCGTGCGGAAGATACCAAGGACTGTATGAAGGACGACATTGGTGGCGGTGAGCAACTGCAACTGCGTTGCAGGTGATGGTGAACTACTTAGCTTTCTATAGACTATCTTAGACTGAGTATGTGCTAATCTAACTTTGCGGAACAAGGAGTTTCAGGTGCTGGCAGCTCTCACTCTCACAACTGCTTTTGCTGTGCTGCGTGCACAACGAGTGAGAGGAAGCAAGCACCAGAGCTCCGTGGTCCTGTCGTGGTACTTTGCCCGGCACTCACGTGTCTTACATTCTATTCCTACTTGCTCTACACCTACTGCCCTACAAGTCTGTGCTTATGGCACCTACTTTACGTAGTGATAGAAGGTCGGAGAGCCCGGTGACGCGCCATGCGTCATCTCAGGTTATGAGCCCAATCAAGGCGCAGCGATCGACTGACGTGGACTCTGGTGTTGAAAACACACAAGAAGAAGTTCTGACGAATCAAGGAGAAGATTCGTCGGGATTGGTCGAAAGACGGAATGGCCCGGATGATGCGACATTATCGCAATCTGATGCTGAGCGACTAATTCGCTCATTGGTCGGAATTACTGGAGGGCGACCGTTGCTTCGAGTGTTACTCGAAGGTGCAGAATTCGAACACAATCGAAGAAACGGGGCCAGTTGAATATCCGCCCCCTCCGCCTCCACCACCGTCGAGTCAAGGATCGGTTGGCAGTGGACGAAGCTACACGAGCCGAGGAGAGAGCAGCCTGGACAACATGAACCCCGGTGGTCGGTACGACGACAAGGAGCTGTCCGACCACACCAAGGCGTTGCGCAACTCCGCAAGCATTGTGTTGCCTAAGCTTCACAAGAAAGAAGACTACAAAGCGTGGCGAAGCGAGGTGCCGTTGCACTTCGAGACGCGCTCGCTAGGCGACATTACGTATGGAGGAGAGCGATATGACGAAGAGGAAGGTCTACGTCGCCCTAAGTATCATGAGTGGTATGCGACGCGAAAGAACAAGGCGTTCTCCGCGTTGGCCCTATCTCTATATGTGGACTTACGCGCTACGTTCAAGATCGATGAGATAAGAGACAACATGGATGCGGCAGCAATGCTGTATTCAACGATTACTAAACACTTTGAGGCTGGAGACGGCATCAACCCTGACTACTTGCTACAGGACTTGGTGACTCGCCGATTACAACCGAACGAGTTCGTTACTGCGTACGTGGAGGACATCGAACGAAAGGTGACACTCCTGCGTCAAGGAAATGGTGAATTTGAAGAATGGCAACATGCAAGCCTACTTCTATCAAACTGCGTGTTGGTATTTCGAGATCTCGCGCGTGAACACGCAGACTGGATCAACCAACACGACCGACGTGGCCTAAAGCTGTCCGAGGCATTGCAGCGCCTGCGCTTCGCTGAACATCAGTGTGATCAGCTGCAACAGCAGACGAACCGGCCTACAACGCGGACGATACAAGTCGCGCAGCTTGGTACTGGCCAAGGACAAGGACGAGGACAAGGTCAAGGCTACGGACATGGACACAACAGTGGAAGTGGGCGTGAGTCTGGAAAGAAACGTGGGAAGAACCAGCGCAAGAAGGCAAAGGTTGCAGCTGAGAAGAAGCAGCACACAGCCTGCGCTAACTGCAATGGAGATGGTCACTGGTATGCAGAATGCACTGCGCAGACTGGCATGCAACTGAGACCAGACCTGGCCAAGAGACTTAAGAACAAGTTGAAGTACAAGAAGTCGCCAGCTTCCCTCATCAACTCGGTGAGACGAGTTGAAGTTGCCCAGTCTGACAGTGAGCAACGAGCCCTACTCTCGGGTCTCTCGTTGTGTGCGACGACACGACTGGCGAAAACGATGGGAACAACGATGGTGTGGCGACGGCTGCAAACATGTCTCCCGTGTATTCGGTGACAACACCTGCGAGCAGTGAGGCTGAAAATGAGAATCTGGCTGAAGAGGTGAAGACGTCGGCAGTCGGACTCGAGTCCAAGTGTACACCTGCAGTACACTCGAACGTGCCAACGACACCGCAACAACTGCAACTGAGAGTTCCTGCTAACCATATGCAAGGTAGAGAACAAGAACAAAAGGATGGACAAGTGCATACAGGACACCAAGAGGTGCAACTTGCTGTACCAGCGGCGATGGAAAGCTAGTGGGAGAGTGGCCAATCGCTTGGTCCACCTCCTGCTTTGGGAACTGCACTATACTATCTGGGTCAAGGACTGATGCAGAGCTCGCAAGGACCTAAATCTGAGCTATGGTACACCAAAGGTGGACCACAAATGGGTCCACCTGTGCCGGGGGATGATCATTGTGGACCTAATGTTGAGCGACGCGGACGCCAAGGACCTGAGCAAGATTACGGGCGAGGATATCAGTCCAACATGAGTCCTTATGAGCTAGGACGCAGTGGATTTATACCAGGACGAGCTGACTCAATACAACGACAAGGATGGGAACCGCTCACCTCCGCGGAACTTCCAAAGAGGAAGATCACCGCAACGTGGAAGGAGCCGCTCTCCTCCGCGGAACTTCCAAAGAGGAAGATCACCGCAATGTGGAAGGAGCCGCTCACCTCCTCGGGACTTCCAACGAGGAAGGTCGCCGCAACGTAGATGGAGTCGCTCACCGCCCCGAAACCTGCAACAAGGAAGACCACCGCAGTCTGGAAGAAGCCGTTCACCGAGAGGAAGATCACTGCAGCGTGGGCGTTCGCCATTGCGTTGGCGTTCGCCATCTCGTGGTCGTAATTGGTCTGCTCGTCGTGAGCCACGAGCGAACAACCAGCCGCCAAGTCATTACGGACCCCAGCCGCAAGATCCGTGGCGTAGTGGACCATCACCCGCGCGTGGACCACTACTGAATGATTGCATTCGTCGAAATGATCTTCAACGTCGGAACTTGTCGCCAAGTCGTCGTGGAAACTCGCCTAGACACTGCGAAAATCGTGGGAATGATGGTATCGGTGGAATTCGACAGGTGAATGCGATTGGTCGAAACCAAGGAAAGCAGTCTGATGACTCAGATTGGGTGGAGTGGATTTTGGACTCTGGCTCTCAGGCGAAGGTCTGTGGAGACTTGTCTCTATTTACTACCATTCGAGAAGATCGCACCAGTCGGCTTGACTTTGCCAACGGAGCATCGGAACATGCAACTATGTGTGGTTCTGTCTTGCTACGCATTGTAAATCAAACAACTGGTGAACAAGAAGATCGCCTCCTTGAGGACGTGGTCTACACTCCTAATGCAAAGGTGAACATTATCAGCCTCGGTCACTTGCAGACGGCTGGGAAGTACAAGCTGCTGTGCTCAGATGATCAGCAGTCAGCTTGGCTTCTCAAAGCCAGGTACTTCGTTGAAGTTTATCATGCGAGACAATATCTACCGATTGAAGGCAGAGCGAGTGTCAGGAGTGATGGTGATGGCAGCACGCAAACAAGACATGGACAGCAGAAAGACGATGGAGTTACTGCACCAACGGCTCGCTCATATGAGTATGGACACTGTGAGAGAGCTGTCGAGTAAGCTCGATGTCGGAGTAAAGATTAATGCACAAGGTCTGAGCTCCTACGAGTGTGTTGCGTGTGCTGCTAACAAGACTAAACGGATGACTTATGCAAGGATTCCTGAGCGAAAGTCTGAACCGCTCGAGATGTTGATGATGGACATATGCACGATGAATGAACCGACGGAAGGTGGTGCAACTATGTTCCTGCTAATCATTGATGAAGCTACTCGCTTCAAGTGGGCGTATCTACTCGAACGAAAGAGTGCGGCTACACTGTACGTCAAGATTTTGCTACATCAACTTCGGACTCAGTTTCCCAAGCTCACTGTTCGGAGACTGCACTCTGATCAGGGTTGTGAATTCACCAGTAATGCGCTGAGAGATTACTGCAATGAGCATGGGATTGTGCAGCAGTTCACGAATGCTTACTCTCCTCAGGAGAATGGTGTGGTGGAGCGAGCGAATGGCACTGTACTGCCTCGCATCCGTGCTATGCTAACCGCTACACATCTTCCTAACATGCTATGGGGAGAAGCACTTCTACACATTGTTACGACACTAAATTGGCTACCAACTAAACCGCTAGGACTGGTCTCGCCATACAAGAAGCTGTACAGTGTGACACCCGATGTGGATGAGCTTCGGACTTGGGGATGTGTGGCACACGTGCGTGTCCCTCCTGAGTCCAGACAAAAGAAGGAAAAATTGGAGCCGAGAGCACGAATATCTCTATTACTTGGTTATAGTCATGATACCAAGGGCTACAAATTTCTAGATTTGAAGACAGCTCAAGTCGTGACTGCGCGTGGACGAAACACGCGATTTCACGAGGAGTTTACAAGTGACGGCGCTTACGTAAAGCAACGACTAGAGAACGCATATCACGATGGTGATCATCAGCTGCCCGATAGTGTTCTGGTGGCACGCATCAAGACTAGTATGGAGACGTACCTACCTGGTTGGAGCTCTGAGTCTTCGAATGTGACGAAGCAGCTCGAGATGGTGCCGATAGCTGATGACCTGCAGGACAAAGAACATGAGTCCAGTGGGAGTGCGAAAGACGACTTACCTGAGGAACAGAGAGTAGAGTCGCTAGCCGGTGTAGATGCACCAGTTGAAGTTGCTGCGAACGATGAGACGAAGGAGCCACCTGCGGCACCCAAGTCTGGCAAGCGACGAAAACGAAAGACGCGAAAGAAACTTGAAACAGAAGAGAAGGAGACGAAAACTTCTGAGATTCGCGATCCAGCTGTTCA